CGAAGGTGCCTCACGGAGTGGAAGAACCGCAAAGCTGAGCTTGAGGGCGCGCACAGTGCACGCTGTCGCCTGCACGGCCGCGGAAGGAGCTCGTGGTATCGCGACATGGAAGCGGAGGTGTACCGGAGGTTTCTCGCCCACCGCAAGAAGTGCCTCGCTGTCTCGATCGCACGACTGCAGAAGTGGTCGCACGAGGTGATGAAAGAGTTACACCCAGGTGAAAAGTGGGCCGGCTCTCAGCGGTGGACTCAGCGCTTTCGCCGCCGCTGGAACCTGACGACCAGAGCAAAGACCCGGGTCGGCTAGAAGCTCTTGTCTAGTGAGTTGTTATTTGGTGGTATTGTTGTTTGTCTGTTCCCATCTATTCACGGCTCTCACGCTGTGTTTGTGCTTTCTGTTTCTCCCATCCCGTGTCCGAGACTGCGAGTCTGATGTCAAGAACTTCTGGACGTACGTGTGTCACTCCTGCCGCCAGTACAAGATCGACCTGCCGTGGATTCTAAACGCGGACCAGACGCCCCTCTGGCTCGAGATGCCATTTGAACGCACCGTTAAAGAGGTTGGCTCGCGATCCGTGCCCGTCCGCAGCGGCGGCTACCAGTAAGAGCGGGTTACAGTGATGCTCCCCTGCACCGCCAGCGGGGAGAAGTTGAAGCCGTGGGTCTTCTTCAAAAGGAAGACCGTCCCAAAAGGAGATTTCCATTCAGGTATGCACCACACGTCGATTACGCGGTGACATGTTGATGTCAGTTAAAATATTGAAATAACATCGTGGTTTTGTTGCTGTGCAGATATCCACTTGGGGGTCCATCCCAACGGTTGGATGGACGCGGACGGTGTCATCGAGTGGCTGGACGGGGCGGTGAAGCCGTACATCAACCCCAAGTTCGGAGTCCGCCCCCGCAAAGCTCTGCTCGTCCTCGATTCGTACCGCAAGCACCTGACCCCGGAGGTGAAGAAGTTTGGCAAGCTGAACCTGGTCCCTGCGGTTATCCCTGCTGGCTGCACCTCGGAGATTCAACCCCTCGACGTCGCGGTTAACCGCTCCTTCAAGGCCGCCGTTCGCCAGCTCTACCAGGAGTGGTTTCAGCGTGAGGGGGTCGACACCTTGACGAAGAAAGGTGAGAGGTGCAGCCTTTCTGTTTATGGTTTTACCTTTAACCCGTGCTGACCCGGTTTCTGGATTTGCGTGGCAGGCAACATCAAGAAGCCTCCTGTCGAGCTGACGCTCAAGTGGATTTCGGCGGCCTGGAAGTCCGTGCCCAAGGAGCTCATTCAACGGGCGTTCCTCACCTGCGGCTTCAGCAACGCCCTGGATGGGTCCCAGGACAAGCTCTGCCTGCAACACAGGCAAGACGAGCTCGAGGGCGAGGAGGTCGACATGGATGATGAAATTGCAGCAGACGGTTTCTTCTGCAACAACGTAGAGGAACCTGAGTCAGACTCTGAGGCCGACCCAGATGACCCCACTGCAGCTGATGATTAGAGTAGGGTAGATGTGTAGAAACTGATGAAGCCTGTGTGAGGCTCGTAGGTAGGAGTAGATTAACTAGTTGTAGATTAATTAAGATGATGTTTTAGTGGATTAATCATGTAAAAGGTCTTAAAAAAAAAAGAACTAAAAAAACCGGGTGGCGGTTCTAAAGTGTAAGGCACAGGTATGCGGCTATAATCCGTAAGCCTTTTAGGGTTCCCCAATGGATCATGGGAGTAGTGCACCACGCGGTTAGGGTTCCCCAATGGATCCGTGGTGCACGTGGCAGCAGGACATGGGTCGTGGTGATGCTCCCGTGCATGGTTCCACGTCCGGTTCACGCCTTGCTCACGCCTAGCGAGATGCGACGGTGACGAACCTGGCGAGACGAGTCGTACGCCCGTCGACGGACGTTTTGTTTCGTTCAGGTGGGTCGTGCATGCGTCGCAACGTTCGCAGGACATGATTTTGGCGGGGTATGTTTTTGTGACATGCAGATTTGTTTTCGCGCATTTATTCGCAAGCTGTGTCTCCTGGAATTTTGCTTTCGCTGAGGCAGGTTGGTTTCCGGGTCGCCGATGGAGAACATGCGGGAGGGGTGTGCGCTCAGGTGGGGTGGGGAAGTGGGTTCGCGTGCAGGGGGTCCCGACAAGGCCCAGCTGGCGGGGTTTCAGTTTCGCCGTCCCGTCGCTGGGAGAGTGACGGATCTGTCGTTCCCACGGGCAAAACGGGAGCGACGGACTTTCATCCGTTGAGACACACAGCGATTGAAAGACACTTAAGAGCATGAGTAAAACCTAAGGAGGTGAGAAAGGCGGTATGAAGCGATGGCACGACGGTTGAAAGGAGTCCCTGGGTTCACAGACGAATGACTCGAGAAGCAGGAGGCTCCTGAATTTTAGGTCTGGTCAGTCTGAAGAGAAACCGCCTCCAGGGCAGTGATTCAGCGCGGGAACAAAAAAACTGAAACCGATGCGGGTTGGAAGGTGAACTTGCATGACACATGGAAGCTGAATGAATGTGGTCCACATTTCGAAGTGAATGGGTCGTTTGAATGCTTGAATCAACTCGTTCATGCAGGAACGCAGTTCTGATCCATCGCCACTGAGTAACTACGTGAGATCGATGGTATCACAGTGGTTTGCTGAGCATCCTAAAACACGATATAAGCTTTCCAAGGCGCTGCGGCAACTGTTCTTGAGTGCCTCCTAGGGTTGTGTGGCAAATGAGGCGATCTGATGATGGCGATCAACGAGCCCTTGGGAAGGTCGCGGGTACACAACCCGCGAATGATGGGAAGGAGGATTGCAATGGGGCTGGAATAGGTTGGGAGGATTCGTACATTACAATGTTCTATCGTATGGTATTATTTTGTAAAAAAGAGTGAGCTGAATGACAAAATAACGTTTTAGTGGCAGGATGAACTTAACAAACAACAAAAGCTTAAGCAAATACGAAAAGGACCTAGATATTTCAGCCTAACAACTGGCCATGCCAGGGCACACCCTGCTTGTCTAGTCTAGAACCATCAATAATTAATCTACAGCCACGAGCTGCTAACCAGGAGGCGTTGATTGGAGTGTTATCACGGTACAGTACACCATTATATCGCATCACACGCAAGACGTGAGGACACCCTCACTCACACTGCCCAAATTGACAGCAGTTAACACCACCGCAACGACAACTTTGGCCTTCAAGCAGTCGAGTCGCGTCGACACAAGCGCATCCCACTGTTCAAGTGCAAACTTCAACGACATCAACGACACAATCAACACAAGGTTCGAGAAACATCGTCAGCTGCATGGCGAGAATAACTGACTCCTGCATCACCGAATCGCCACCACACTACCCACTTGAAGAATTACTCAACGAAAGCACTCCTCGCCTCGAGTCACTGGAACCGAACCCGACGTACGCAGCCATCGCCCAAAGCGAACCGTCCGGGAAAAATACCTGGTTTTTGGACAGTTGCTGCGGACAACTCATGTGCACTCCATGTCGCTTCGTTCAACGAGAACACCAACTTCAGCGCGAAGTTGTCATCACCGTCGCCAACAATCAGAACATGCGCACACGACGACAGGGAGTAGTTCAGCTTCAGTCACGAGAAACCAACGTTATCCTACAAATGTCAAAAGTTTTAATTGCAGAAGGACTCGGCTACAACTTACTGAGGGTCAGCCAACTTATGGCGAAGGGAATTCATCTCGAAGCAGACAGCACCACTCAGGAGTTCAAACTGTACCACGGGAGGGGTGGACTCTACATCGGCAAAGCAATTTTGAAGAACAATGTCTTTGTTCTTGACTTCGTTCCGGACCAAGGCACCGCCGACAGCGACGCCATCGTCAACTTCACCTCTTGGACACACCCGCCAGATCTCGACCCCAACCTCAGTCCTGGGGGATTCTGGTATTCACACACTATACATGAAACAGAACGAACGAGAGCGTTAGCAACGATTCAATCGGCAGCAGCAGAGACAACATCGGCAGCAGCAGAGACAACATCGGCAGCAGCAGAGACAACATCGGCAGCAGTAGAAACAACATCGGCAGAAGCAGAGACAACACCGGTACCAATCGCTGGCCCTCTAACAACACCGGCCTCCATCAACGACATGCCACCGACCCCTGCTCAGCAGCTGACTCCCACTCCACGAGAAGTCCACAGAAGATCAAACTTCACCGCAGGCTTCTACTCCAACTCCGATCTGTACAGACGTTCACCCGGACATCGCGCCAGCGAATCAATCTGGCATGCAAGGATGGGACACCCAAGTAACACAACATTAAACAACAAGATTCGAGCTAGAGTACTTGACAAAGACGGTAGAGAACTTCAGCAAGTCTACGGGACGTGCTTTACCTGCCCCGTAGCCGACTTATCGCATCAGCCGTTCGTCTCTCACCACAATCCGAGCGCACCAGCATACGCACCTCTGGAGAAAGTGTACAGCGATATATTGTACAACCGCGAACCTGGACAAGGAGCATATAACTACGTCATCACGTTCATCGACGCCGCCACACGATACGTCTGGCACTTCAACCTCCCAAGCCGCGACATGGCCCTCGACGCTTTCGTCGCCTGGCTTCCAGCAGCAGAACGAGAATCAGGAGTGAAGCTGAAAAGCTTCCAGTCTGATGGGGGAGGGGAATATCAGTCATAGAGGTTCAAGGACTACCTGTCAGAAAGAGGCATCAAATGGCTCATCTCCCTTCCCTACGCCCATCAACAGCAAGGCGTGGCAGAAAGAATGAACATTACCCTCCAGAACACCATGCGCAAGCTGCTACATGGCATGCAGCTACCCAACAACCAGTGGCCCAAAGCAATGGACCATGCAGTGATGCTCCACAACTTGCTTTCGTCATCATCGCTCCCGAACAACGCATCACTGCATCTGCGATGGACAGGAAAACTGGGCAGCACAAAAATGTTGCGAGTGTTCGGCTGTATGGTACAGTACCAACCCCCAACTGCACGAGCCGGTCGATTCTCCAAACGCGCACAGTGGGGACTACACCTGGGCATCGAGAAACATTACAACGCATGGAAAATATTCGACATCAACACAAAGGAAACAGTGGCAGCACGTGATGTCATCTTCTACGAACGACTCACCCTCCCGACATAACTTGCCAACCTGAAAGAAGAAAACCCAGTCCTCTCGGACGGATTTCATGGCGACCGAGCCTTCGCCTCGGCAGCAGACAAAGCTGACTGGGACGAGCAGAACGTGGATGGAGCCTCGGATGGAGCCGGACCCCTTCCCTACTGTTCCGTCGACGTCCCAATGGACGACGAAAACCTTCGCGAAAGCATCAACGCCGAAACTTATTATCACTTCGCCGACAATGGTTACGTTACACCCGGAAGAGTCAACACCGACGAAGCAGAACGCGTAGGACCCAATTTCATACCTGACCTAGAAGCGGGAGACGAAGCACGGTACGGTACACCATTCCCTGGTCACTATTTTCACGGCCCTTGCCAGCAGAGAGTCAGGCAACAGGCCCGGTGACGGGTTGGAGTGCACCTTGTGGGGGTCTATTCCCTGCTGCGCCAGCCACTCCACTGCACCCCACTGCTGCTGCCTCACAGCGTCGTGCAGAGGAGTCCCTGGGGGAACGGGGCAAGGGAGGAGCGGTGCAAAGGGGGGAGCGGGCAAGGCGACAATTGGAGGAAGCAGTGGAGAAGGGGGAAGGGGGAGGCGGGGGAGGGAATGATAGTAGAAGCAGCTGCACAGTGTACGATAGTGCGAAGAGGAAGGCAGTAGGGACAGCATAACACTAAATGCTTCGCTGTACACTCACAGCATTTATCAGTCTTAGCAAGGATGTCGGCACCGTAACGATTCAGCACTTTCATGCATGGCACGTGCCCGCCCCATGTTGCTCGGTGCATGGGTGTGCTGCGGTTGTGCGTGCGAACTCCAGCCGGCATGCCCAGCCCCAATAGCGTGTGCACCGGCAGAGGCATGTAAGCGGGAAGAAGAAACAAGAGTGCGGGGAGGAGCAAACCAAGTGAAGGTCAGCGTGAGCCTGGAGCATGCAGGCAGGGGCATACGGGATACCGGGAACCCACCACAAGTAGATCCCCGTCGCGAGCAGCAACTGCAGCACAGTCCATCCATACTCATCCACAATGGCATCCAAGTGCCTCGCGTCAACAGCAACGCCCCGTCTCTTCAGCATGCCATTCAGCTCCTCCACGTCCTCTTCCGACGTATAAAACTCATCTGTACCAGCCTCTGTGTCAGCCAATCCGCTCGCATCTGACACACCCTGCAGGTCCCCACTGGCCTTCCCCGCAGCATTTCTTGACGCTCTCCCAGAAGCGTTATGTCGACCAGCTTCGAAGAGGATGAGCGAGGGGTGTGGCGTAATGATGTGCCGGGAGTCGGACTGTCACAATGCCGGGTGCTGGGGAGAGGGGGGCTGTGCATTGCGGGGAAGCAGAGAGCTGTGAGAAGGAGCCGGGGGGATTGCTACCAGAAGTGCGTAGAGCGGGCATGTTGTCAGAGCCAACAGATGCAGCAGTAGGAGATGGAGCAGCGACAGAAGACAGGAAGGAGTGGCTGCAGAGGCAGAGGTAGAAGGAGGGCGGTGGGGTGGCAGCAGCTTCGTATCGGCGATGTAGACGAGAGTAAGCGGGTAAGAGTGAAGGGATGGCGGTGCGGTCTTGTCTGCCAGCAGTGATGAGGGGCGGCCGAGAGACGAAGACTGGGGCTGTGTGGGCTGGCCTGACTGCGCTGGCACTCGCTGTGCCGCTGACTGGTGCTCCGATGGTGGCTGTGGCGATGTGGATGGGCGGCGTAGCGGAGGGGCGTCACAGAGGTGGTACTCCCACGCCCTGAGGGCGGGCTGCTGGCAGGTGGATGGGATGGGATGGGATGGGTTGGGATGGGATAGGATGGGATGGGATGGGACAGGATGGGATGGGATGGGATGGGATGGGATGGGACGGGATGGGATGGGACGGGACGAGACGGGATGGGACGGGACGGGATGGGATGGGATGGGATGGGATGGGACGGGATGGGATGGGACTGGATGGGATGGGATGGATGGGACGGGATGGGATGGGATGGGATGGGATGGGATGGGATGGGATGGGACGGGATGGGATGGGATGGGATGGGATGGGATGGGATGGGACGGGATGGGATGGGACGGGATGGGATGGGAGGGGATGGGACGGGATGGGACATGATGGGATGGGATGGGATAGGACGGGATGGGATGGGATGGGACGGGATGGGATGGGACGGGATGGGATGGGATGGGATGCGATGGACCCTGAAGAGGGGGTGACAGTGGAGGAACAGGGAATAGAGAAAAGGACGTTGACGGCGGGATGAGGGAGGCGGGAGAGAAGACACATAAATGGAACGGAGGGAAGAGCACAGAGAGTGGGGAGGGCAGAGCGAGTGGGGAGGTCAGAGAGAGTGGGGAGGGCAGAGCAAGTGGGGAGGGGAGAGAGAGTGGGGAGGGCAGAGAGAGTGGGGAGGGCAGAGAGAGTGGGGAGGGCAAAGAGAGTGGGGAGGGCACAGCGAGTGGGGAGGGCAGAGAGAGTGGGGAGGGCACGGCATACCGTGTCGCCTTGCGACTGGTTTGACTGGAGAGCACACCCAGGTGGCAGGCGTGGTGCAGGCTGGCAGCGGCGCTGGCAAAGAGCCACGGCAGCACGTGGGGCGGCACAGTCACCGCCTCTCCCGTTGCCTCGCGCCTCGTCTCCCTATCGACGCTCGCCCAGTTGGTGGATTGGGCTCCCCTGTTGCGCTCCTTTTGACAGAAACTGCTTGCCAGCATACAGTGGGTGGCATGGGAGAATGCATAGTGCACAGGGAAGAAGCGGATGGGGGGCAGGGGCTTCAAAAAGTTGGCATGGTGAGCACGGGAGGTAGATTTGCGTTAGAGGTGGCCGTGGGGTGGCAGCAGCGTGAGGTGGTGAGGGAGTGGCATGGCTGCCAAATGCGCAGCTGCGCTGAGCCCACAATGGCGCGGAGCAGCCGAGACGAGCACAAGTTTCAAGCTGACCAGGCGGCGGCAGGCGGCAAAGAGGGCAGTAACAGCCGGCTCTGTTACTATTGCAACGGCGTCGTCGGTATCATCGGAGCGCAGAACTACGGCTCCCAGGAGTGCAGGTTCATGTGCCGATACAGCGACACACGCGTGGCGTGAGGGAGGAAGCGCACCCGGTGGCGATGGAGTGAAGGAGATCGTCTGTTATTTATTATGGCGTGAAGAGCCAGTGGGCCGATATGTAGGTGACGCAGGGTGAGGGGGGAATGGAGGGGAAAGGAGGGCGGAACGGCGGAGGCGGAGGCGGTGGTGGAGCTGGGGGGAAGCAAGGCGCTGGTGCCAGGGGAAAGGGAGATGAGATGAAGGGAGGAGGGAGGAGGTGGGGAGGAGAGGAAGGAGCGGAAGGTTTGGGTGGAAAGGCGGCGGTCGGCTTGCGCGTGGTCAGCTTCGTGTTGCTCAGGTGCCTACTCGGGCCAACACGCCTGATGTGTTCACCAAGGCCCTTCCGGCTGGTGATCATCAGCTCTTCTGCACTGCTCTAGGCCTGGTGCCTACGTTTCCTCACTTGCTGTAGACTTTGGTTGCACTGTGATCTATATATATATACCTGCATGTTTACTCTTGCTAGGTAGTGATCACTGCACTGTTGTTGTTGCATATATACCTCTGCCTGTGAACTGGCCTTGTGGCCCTCTTGCTTGTGCTCGGAGTGTGTGGTGACGTTGTGATCCACCCTGAGCTTGCATTGCTTTTCTTGACTGGTCGTGTGACCCCTTGTTCTCCCCCACTTTGCCTATGGGGGTGTGTCAAACTATATATGTTGTGGTAGAATTTGTAGGCTGTGTTGGGGTAGCCAATATGGGGTACAACCCCTTAGGGTTTTCATTTGTTTCCAAACACTCTCGTAATTGACCCATTCATTGCTACTAGTTCTAACACGCCTCATTCTTTTGATAAGTCTATGTGATTGGCACAATATTTCGTCTAGGTTAGATTGGAGTTTGGCCCATCATGACCTCGCATCGTCAGGTTGGATGCAGCGAGGGAACAGGGCAGGGTGTTGAAGCCAGATGGATTGTTCCAGGGTTCACCTAATTATGGCCAGGCCTTTAGAAATCTGGACTCAAGCTAAAATATGCCCTGAAACAGATCAGGGCCAGATTTTCCATAACCCATCAATTTCAGGTTTCATGGAAGACCTAGCCCTGGAATTCAAGGTCTAGCAGGGAAAACGCCCTGGTAGAGACAGCCCTGGTCACGATCGACCGTGACTTCTCTCCCGAAAAAAAATTGGTCCTGTATGTCACAACTGATCGACATGAGTGTGAAAGAACAAGGAATGAATGAACTAGAAATGAGATGGATACAAATGTGAAACCCTAGAGTGTTGTACCCCTTAGTGTCTACCCCACTGTAGCCTACAGTGACTAAGTAATATAAGTCTGACACACCCCCATAGGCAGAGTGGGGGAGAACTAGGGGTCACAAGACCAGTCAAGCAAAGCAAAGCAAGCTCAGGGTGGATCACAACGTCACCACACATTCCGAGCACAGGATCAAGGCCACAAGGCCAGTTCACATGCAGGAGTATATATAAAGGTAAACAAGCATGTGCACGTATATATAGATCACAGTACAAGCAAGGTCAAGAAGTAAGCAAGTGAGGCCAAGTAGGCACAAGACCTAACATCGTACAAAAGCGCTGATGATCACAAGGCTGAAGTGCCTTGGTAAAGATATCAGCAGTGTTGGCCTGAGAGGCCACGTAAGCAAGTCGCAGTTGACCACGCTGCTGCAGCTCACGAGCAAGGAAGTAGCGAAGAGCAAGGTGCTTCGTTCTGTGCTCCAGTCTGTGCTCCCGACACAAGGCCAGCATGGCCTTGTTGTCTACGTACAGAACTGGAGGAGAACGAGGCGGCTCTCCCAGGTCGGTCAGCAGGTAGGTGAGCCAGCGTAACTCCTGTCCAGCCATGGCCCCTGCGTAGATCTCGGCCTCACAGCTGGAGCCGAGAATTGAAGACGAGCGGGTAGACCGCCACGAAACAGAGCCGGAACCAAGGCTGAAGGTGTAACCCCGTGACGACCGCTGCGTAGCCAAGTCATCAGCCCAAGAAGCGTCTGCGTGACCAGTGAGGACCACTGGACTCTGCCCTCCAAGCACAAGCCCCATGCCCGATGTACGGCACAAGTAGCGCAACACCCTCTTCGCTGCAGCCATGTGCTCTGGTCGGTGTCTCCCAGGAGCAACATAGCGTGCCAGGATGCTAAGAGGCTATGCTAGGTCTGGACGAGTGCAGGTCATCAGGTACATGAGGCAGCCAACAAGCTCTGGGTACGGGCCACTCGGCTCTACAGACTCATCCGAAGGCAGAGCTGAGAGCGAGTGGCGCGTAGACAGAGGAGTGGCGTGAGGCGAGGAGTACGTGAAGTTGAAGCGCTGAAGGACCTGCTGCACCATGTGTGACTGAGTCAAGGTAATGGTGCGGCGTGCTCTGTCCCGGGTGATCTGCAAGCCAAGATAGCTGCGCAGCTCACCCAGGTCTGTGCACGTGTGTCTCTTCTGCAGCTCCGACTTCACGTGGGCAAGTCCAGCAGTGTCAGCAGTGGCAAAGACCAAGTCGTTGACGTACACGAGGATGTAGAACGGCGGCAACGAGGTGTCGGTGCGTAGAAACGGCGACGGGTCAGCCGTAGAAGGAGCAAACCCAAGAGCCGCAAGTGTAGTCCTCAGTGTGTCGTTCTACTCGCGGGGAGCCTGGCAGAGACCGTAGACTGGCCGCCGGAGGCTCCATTGGGTACCAGGAGGAAACGACCCAGTGAAGCTAGGAGGGCGGCGCAGCCAGATCTCCTCGTGCAGGCTGCCCTGTAGGAAAGCAGTGCTGAAGTCAAGAGAGTGAAGCTCGTAGTCACGCTGAGCGGCTATGTGCAGCAGCACCCGAAGAGTGGTCATCTTCGGGGTCGGGGAGAAGGTCTGGAAGTAGTCAACTCCCTGCCACTGACTGAAGCCTCGAGCCACGTAACGCGCCTTGAAGACAGGCGGAGAACCCGGCGGCCGCTTCACCCTGTAGATCCACATGCCACTGACGATGTTCGCCCCAGGTGGGGGAACCTCGTCGACGTAGGTGCCTGTGGACTTCCAGGAAGCCATCTCTGCGTCCATGGCTGCCTGCCACTGAGAGGAGTAGGGACCCTCTACTGCCTCCGCGTAAGAGCGCGGGGTCGCGATGTCTGGTGCATCCGGGTCTCCCTCAGGGGCAAGCAGCATGGACACGAGATGAGGTAAAGCAGCAGCAAAGCACTGGAACTCCTCCTGCCCGTCCTCAAGGACGTCCGTGCCAAGAGCACACGCACCCCCGACGGACGGAGGACAGACAGACGCAGACTCAGCAACAAGACTAGCAGCGTAGTCTAGACGACAATGCGCAGCGAAGTCGACCAGCTCAGCAACTAAGGAAGACGCAACAGTGGACTCAAAGGAAGGGTCAGTGACAGCAGTAGCCAAGAGACGCGTGACAGTAGGACTGGCAGCACGAAGAGAGTCAGTCTCCGGGTCAGCAAGAGCAGGAAGAGAGGACTCTGGAGGAGACGGCAAGGGGACTCGCAGAGGAGCAGTGGAAGGACGCAGTGCCATCTGGTGCGTGCCCGGAACCGCAGGAGGACGCTGACGCGGAACACGGCGACCGGTGCGAACAGCACCAGTAGAACCACCAGGCCCAGCAGCTCCAGTACCTCCAGGACGAGCACCTCCGGGACCCGTGGCTCCAGCACCCCCAGCAGCAGGAGAACCACCAGCACCAGCAGCAACACCAGCTCCAGCAGCACGACTCCAATGCCGAGCAAACCACTCGCGCAGCTCCTGTGGAGAGGGTAGCTCCCGCCGAGGCGAAGCACCCGAAGGACCTCCAGGCTCCGCACCCCCAGGCTCCGCACCCCCAGACTCAGCAACCCCAGGCTCAGCACCCCCAGACCCAGCACCCCCAGTCCCAGCACCCCCAGTCTCCGCACGCTCAGGCTCAGCACCCCCAGACCCGGCACCCGCAGGCGCAGCACCCCGAGCAGCACCAGAGTCAACAGCTACCTCGACAGGCTCGACTGCGTCTACCTGAGACACACCTGAGGGGGCAGGACCATGAGGGGGGAGGGGGTCTACCGGGGGGGGACCTGGCACGAGGAAGAGCGGCGGGGGGGGGAGGGGGGCAGCGCGGTAGGGGAAGAGACGGTAGTACGGAACCGACTCGTCAAACGTGACGTCCTGGGAGGACAGAACACGGCGCGAGGTGGGGTGGTAAAACTGCCAACCAGGCGCGTCAGGGGGGAAGCCAAGGAAGACGCAAGGAACAGCACGGGAGGACAGCTTGTCCGCAGACAAGTCTCGGACGAACACCCGAGATCCCCAGACACGGAACGCAGACGCATCGCCAACCTTCCCCGTCCACCGAAGGGTGGGGGAGGTCTCCGGCAAGGAGACCCGGGGCTGAAGGTTGATCTGCTGCGCCGCGTACTAAACCGCGAACGGCCACAGAAAATGGGGAGCAGCCGCATGGATCATGGACGTACGAGCGACGTCCATGACCATGCCAATGCGGCGCTCAGCAATCCCATTTTGCTGTGGAAAGGCCGGAAGCGTGAACGTCTGGCGGATGCCCCTCGCACGGCAGAAGGCTCGCAGAAGGTCGGAGGAAAACTCTCCACCTCTGTCGAAGTGCAGACGCAGAACAGAAAAGTCCGAGCCAAAACTCCTCCTGAGCTGGAGAAGAGCAGCGCGGATCCAGTCGATCAACACCCCA